GACTAGGAACCCTAATAGTTTCGTCATGTCCGTGTGTCCGTCCCCGGCTTTGCTTGGAGACTGTTAGCACTACAGAGCTGGTAAAATGTGTAGAAATATATTTTTTGTTAGGTTAGCTTCCCTACATGTAACCTGGCGATAATTTTTTCTTCATCGTCTTCCCTATCGTGTGGGATACCGTTGAATAGGTATGGTTATTGGCTTTAAAATTACTTACATTAATTTGCGGTTTCAAAGACTATTTTACGATTTAGGGATCAGTTTGCGAAATATTGAACTTTAAAGTGCTAATTATTTTTCGAGTAGGGCGTCTCCCCCCCTTTAAAATCTAAGCTTGCTTGAAAAACCTGGAATAATTAATAAGGAAAATTATAACGATTAAGATATATTTGTTAGTTTAATGGTGGCCATACACACTACGAGAAATCGTTACGATCAGACTGTGCAGTTCGAACAGTACAGATAATCGAATCGAATCGAAAGAATCGTAGCATCTGGTGCAAAGACCGCCGAACGTTTTAAGTCTCTCTTTGCCTTTAGTATTCCAAAGACAAGGTTCGCTGCGATATAACTCAATAAATTGTTCTAGCCATTCGCGATTACTTTGAGACGCCATGACACGGACGCACGTCTACCCGAGCTGCAACTGACTACAAAACTGAACACGAAAACTGAATGAGCGCATACACGTTACGATCAGTCGGCACAGTTCATCCGATTTCGATAAATCAATTGATATTTTCGTATTGCTCCGTTCGACTGCACAGTCTTAAAAATCGTAGGAAACTGTGCAGTTTTATAACACACACGCTACGATTTATCGGTACCGTTCGAACTGTACAGTCTAATCGTAACAATTTCTCGTAGTGTGTATGGCCACGTGTGTATGGCCACGTGTGTATTGCCACAATATGCTCTTAAAGCAATGGTCGTTCAATTTCGGTTAAAGAAAATTTCTTATATATTGAAAATTCCTTAGAAGAAAACGTTATTTGCGTAAAACCTTGCATTGAAAAACAAAATCTAAAAAAGTCTATTTGAAAACCACAATAAAGAATCATAAGTTCCACAAAGCTTCCGCAAGTACCAACGACAACGGCTTGTGAATCGCGCTATCGTTACGTTTATATAATGACCTTGAATAGATAAGATAAGAAAATATAAGTACCTATTATCGAATAGAGTTTGAGACGCAGTTTGACTTTGATTTAGGTGTTTTAGTTGAGATACATAGTATGATATTATTATTATTTTTTTATTTCCTATACAGAAAATAAAGACTTCTGATCAAATATATTGTGGTAAAAACAGGCAACTACGGAACCCTACACTGAGCGTGACACGACACGCACTTGGCCGGTTTTTTGAAGTCGATTAGTAACTACAATAATCTATGAATATTTTTTATGTTGTGTGTTCATATCTGAAATGCAACTATTGTTATTGGTTATGATCTAGCATTAAACGGCGAATACCTTAATTCCTCTACAAATCATTAATAATTAATTACTTGTGTTTATTTGTTGCCTTATCGACATGCACTTATGTAAGTACATCTAAGTGTTTTTTGTTCATAAATTGTGAATAGAGTTTAACCTAAATCACTACAGGAGTACAACACTACAGTACATTGTTTTGTTATTTGGTTGCAGCATTCTTTATAGGAGAGGAATCTTTCACGAAACGGATGCTCCATTTCTAGCAGAAGAATAGATAATTATGTCATACTTCTTCCTTCCTTCAATTATCTGTAACAGTAGGTACCTATACCCTTAACGCAATTCAATATCGAACAGTTGAATTCGATCTCGATACGCGTCGAATGTCAAGGAATTTTGTATGGAAACTTGAACAGCGCCACAACGGACGTAATGAGAATTAAAAATCATCCATACAAAACTTCTTGATATTTGACATGTATCGAGATCGAATCCAACTGTCCGACATTAGTTCGTGCAAAGGGCACTGCTCAGCGACATTACATTACAGTATTTCATAATCGATCAAAGAATTGCGCATGGCACAGCCAATATGCAAAACACAGCCTCACAAAAACATCGCAATTAATTATCTTCGTCATTAGCGTACTTTACCTTGGAACCGCTTCCTTAGTGCCCCCATCTGGGAACCGGCTCGTTAATCACCACCTAAAATAATTAACTTAGGAACACAGATTCTCATAATTCAACGAGCTGTTCGCTGTGCAAAAAATAACAATGCAAGTGTGAACTTCGTTAGCAACCATCGCGGATGTACCAACTCCATCGACACGGCCGACCAGCCAGCGGAAATGGGAAACAAAAACGTACTTAAGTGTATTTTAAAATGAATGAAGTTACTTTTCCTTTCACTCGTGTACAAAAGGTCTCACTTTTAGTTTCACTTACAGTATGATTTTTGATTGAATCAGCCAAGAAATCCAGTACAAATTTTGCAATTCCAAAACTATAAATATTCAAAATTATATTATATTTAGTAGGTATACATATCTACATATTCACCCCTTTACTCTCCATATTCAAAACACGATCTCTCAAAATCAAATTGCCACGGTGGAATTTTAATCGATTTTGAATAAAATTACCATTTAAAAGAATCGGAATTATTGCAATATATTAACCGCTTAATGATAACTCTATGCTCCAGCAGGAAATACCATGAGGTAAACATAAACAGATAACTTGCCAAGCAACCGGTTTAGTTCGATTACAAAAAAAAGATTACTACGCACAAGGTGATATGGCGAGCTGATTCGATTTTGTTCAAATCAGCATACAACCAACCCACCCGGCATCATCACTAGGATCATTGGGTCGAATGTGACAGGGATCCTGCCTGGCTTGGCTCATGTCGACTGCCTTCTGTCTCAAATGATCGGTCTAGGTACGGTAACTGATTCTACATCCGATACCGTGGACACACTTGTCAAACTTTCATGATTGATCAGCTAGTACGAGCTCTAAAGTGTAAACGAAATTGTAGGTACCTATGGGTTACGTGCGCTTGGAGGAGGTTTTTGCTTTTCACCCATATGCTTCAAACACACTATGAGAAAATCACATAAATAAAATCATCGCTTTTTCCCTTCTCGATAATGATTATTAACATCTTTTCATCATTTATTCTTAAACATACATATGGAGCTACTACGCGGAATATTCGAATCATTGTGAACACGAGAACGAATTTAAGTACGTAGTAACACATAATTAGGTATATCTTCTTAGTCGTAAAACATAAATGAATACCAACACTTATATATCTACGCATGTATAAGTGTTATATAACATTTACATTAATATTTCCCAACATCCTCTATACTCTACCTATATTGTTTGGTGAGTGAACACGAAAATAACACGAATTATTGTTCCTTTTAACGAGCAAAAACCTAATTTATGCACATCATACGATTGAGCGCTAAGAAAGGGCAAAAAATACATAGATCGTTTTGACGATTAGGTACATACGACTACCAAAAGAAACAGTCATAGACGGTACAAATACAAACACAATTGATGGAACTTAAACATCACACATATGACACCAAAACCTTCGCTTGGCAAAATAAAATTTGCAATATCATCGCATTAGCAGTGTTTTGCATGCACAAGTGTATTTTAATTATTTATTTAATATTAGATATGTTTAGAACAGTTACATAAAATTGTGTCACGCACGTTAATATTAAAAAAAAGTCAATAAATTGATTGATGATGGAATAAAGTGGCGACATATTATTATTCTAAGGGAAAGATAGATGCCAAGATGGTGGGGAGGGGACCACAGAACAAAAAATATAAATACAATCTTATGGTCAAAAACAGAAAGAGGGCTCTTCTTTTGTGTTCTGTGACGGGGACATTAATAGGCTAGGCTGTCCTGGATTGACTGGAGTGATTTTCATTTAAGAATCGATAAATACATTATTTACTTTTTTTTATAACATATCAATACAATTTATGAACTTTCGTCTGTTAAAAGTAGCAAATTTCATCGTAAAAGAACCAGTTGCACTAACATTTATTGAATGCTAAATCCTGTTTAATACATCTCCCAATAAAGATCGAGATATTGTTTTAAAATTTATTTATAACCCGGGGCAAGTGGGTCGGTGCGATAACCACTTAGGCACAGGTTGATACATTGCTGCCATGTAGCAAAGGATAATAAAAATGTAGCGGTGTATAGTCCAATGATACATCATCCAAAAAGTCTCTTATTAAACTATTTTACATGGTTGGGGTAGCTCAACGAAGCGCAGCAGCGCAATCAGTAGGCACCTAACACACTTATGTGGAATGTTTTAATAAGCCCACCCGCATACACTTGGACAGCATAAAACGTGGAATTTATTTTGAAATTTGAAGTAAGGAAAAAAACAAACAAACAAAAAACGTATACCTTTTCTACTTTATATTTGATTGACATCAAAATCCTTACGCAATGAATTGTATAGAAATTGAATATTATGTAGATTAATAACACCTTAACAGTTGGATGGTTGACTATTAATTCATTGTATTGAGCTCCTTCGTGTATATTTTCTCGCCCATGAAGGGTTCCGTAGCAAGTAAATGTTTTATTTTTATTTTTATATTTGAGTTGATTAACGAAAGGTAAATTTCGGTTTACGATTTATGACGTATTAAAAAAAAGTGCTTACTAGATCTCGTTCAAACCAATTTTCGGTGGAAGTTTGCATGGTAATGCACATCATACTTTTTTCTAGTTTTATCATTCCATTATTTTAGAAGTTACAGGGGAGGGACACATTTTACCACTTTGGAAGTGTCTCTCGCGGAAGGCCCTAACAGCAGAGACAATAATAGGTTGATGTTCTGGACTTGTATTCATGACTCGGTGGATGATGGTTCACTCAGTCTGAATTGTTAAAAGAGCATGTAATTTCGATATGTGTCACAGCTCCAGCAGTAGGGATTTCATTGAACTGATGTTTGAGAGGCTAGACAACTAGTGTGTGTGTATGTAGTACTGACCGCTCCTGGAATGCCGGCTGAGATGAAGAGCGCCAGCGTGTCGGGCCAGGGCAGCAGCTTGTACTGCTCCCACCAGCGCTTCACCACTAAGCTCACGTAGAAGCCGAGCACGAACGACATCGGTATCGACTCGCTCTGCGCGCCGAAGTATTGGCGAACTTTTTCGAATATCCTGCAGACAGAACACAATAATTATAATATTGATTATTGGTTTTTTGATGTGAATGTGGTCAATTCTTTCAGTTTCTGTTAATATTCTCAACTGTTGATCATTGTTCGTGGGTTGTCTACGCCCTGACTACTTGCCATGTCACCTACAACCAAGGCTGTTGTCGCTCTCCTCCCGAATAAATAAATTAAGATTGTCAAAGCTACGCGAAGCAGGGGAATAGAGCACACCGTTTCCCCTACACCTTCGCAAATGAAGTCCATCATTTATCATCAGATGGGTTGTAAGCAATTGCCGGGTATAGAAAAATAGCAGTAGGCAATTTATAATATTTTACCTTTTTAAGGTTTTTACTGCTATTTATTAATATTTGAATCTAAAGAAAGATGCCGCGAAGGCTATGAAATATTAGAAGAAAATTCGACACGGCCATTAAGATGGAGACCAAGCAAGGCCATGGTAGCATAATTGATCAGTGCATCCTCCCGGATAGCGGAGGTTGCAGGTTCGAGTCCCGCCTGCTGCCTGGACCGCGTGTAATTTTTTCCAACAAAATTTTCTTTAGATTTATATAGGTAAGTTAGCGGATCTACAAGAAGTAGTAGCTCCCGCTAAAATTGGAGTGTCTATCAGTAAGGTATCTAAGCTACACATTACGTTTTGGTCTTGTTAGATTTGTGGAAATATTTCTTCATCTTACAAAAGTGAAACAACAAAGTCACATAATTCTAACGAAGAAGGGTGGAAAGTAGGGTTCGTGGTGCAAGTTACAAAACATTTTTAAATTTACAAAGTTTCCTATTAAAATAAAATAACCATAAAATGATATTATGTCTCAATATTCATAGAATAGGCACAACAAAACATTAACATTCCATACATTCTGTTTCGTTTCTTCTGCCTCATCACGATCTGAGAAAGGAAACACCTCTGTGAGAGTTACGATCTCCCGACGGCCCAATGTCCAACATGATGAAGTATTTTCTATAAAATATCGTTTAGGAGGATCTGAGATGATTAATATATAATTATTAATAATCTCAGATCCACCAATAAATAATTATCAACTACAAGACATATCTAGATGGCCACAGACTGCGCAGTGGCGTCACTTTGTAAACAACACCCGGCGCTACGGGTCCGCACGAATGTTTGTATTGTATTTCTGGATTTACATGTGAATAAGTGAGTGTGTGTGAGTGCGTATGTTTTTATTAACGCTCATTCATTTCTGAGAAGCCGGATGACAGCCTTTGTAAATGCTGCTGTTTGCAGTTCGTCATTTATATTTGAACATATTCATTTCAATAAACTAACTGTTCATTAAATAATGTTGAACGAATGACTTATTTGATATAACGGCCGGACTCAGCATCATCAAATAATTTTTATGTATGACTAAAGTCGATATTGTCACTTTCATAAGAGTTACCTATGTATAATATGAATAGAATAAGGCAATAACTTCACCGCAGAATACATAATGGTGACGTCACTTTAACAAGTTTAATGGAGGTGGTTTTAGTTTTATGTAGGTGGTTTTAGTATGATGAAAATTTGTATGAAGGGTGGTAGTCAGTCTCCGGCACATTCCATTTTTTATGATATGTAGTTTAATGATAAATCGTTTGACAATGAACTAGTTTTTTTATCACCTTTAAAAATATATTATAATTTCGAATCACATAATTATTAATTGGCAAATGCCAAGTTTATTTATCTACTGTTTGTTACCAAAGCATGAAATATATTAATCTCTCATTCACTTATTAGGTATTTAGGGGTTATTTTATTTAAAAAATATTCATCATAAATTGGTAAGTATAATAATTACACCACGATTTCACGAATATCATGCTAGAGTGGACTGATTGGCGTTTGACACTGTTACGACAATACGACGTTACCTATGACGGGGTGACCAGCATCCTTACGGAATTGTTAAATTTTTAAACACGATTTAAATTTAATCAGGGACAAATAAAATATATGTTAATGTTATTAAATAAAACAAGTTTTCAAATGATATTTATTACAATATTTAGAGTTATTTATATTCACATAACTCTAAATATTGTACGTAATATTTGTTTCTTAGGTTTTCACGTACATCACTCATTAAATAAAACTAGTTTTTACGGGTTAATGCACGAAACTTTATTTATTTATTGACGTTTCGTAGCCTTTACAGGCTACGTCGTCAGAATTAAATTAAACCAGCTGAGAGGCGGTTCGTTCCTCGAATGATGCGCGAGGCTATTGAGATTAAAAAATATCCAAATTTCAATAGGCAAGATGGTTGGTATATACCAACAGCTTGGGAACCTATTATACAGGAGATAAAATCCCAACCCCGAGCACACACTGCAAGACCATCAGATACTATTAGTTCTTTTTGTTTGCATAATTTAACATAAGAAGGAGATAGAAAGCCTCTCTTGAGTTTGTATCGCCGGTTCTTCTCAGAAAGGTCTCCCAATTTTGGAACCGGTGGTAGTTTACTGTAGTTAGGGTCAAATAAAAAAACTCAAAATTACAAAAAAGAATTTTAAATAAAATACTTTATTAAGTAAATAAAATAATAAATTCATACATAGACAATAAAACTTTAAAAATCGAACAATGAAATAACCGAACGCTCAATAAAAGTCTTTCGAAGGTAGCTCGACAAATTAAATAAAAGTTTAATTCTGACGGCGTAGTCTGTAAAGGCTACGAAACGTCAATAAATAAATAAAGTTTCGTGCATTAACCCGTAAAAACTAGTTTATTATTGTACGTAATCTTAGTAAATTATGTAAGTGTATGAATGTTTCAGTCTGTGGAAACTTCACTGGTTTATGAAAAAATAATAAGTGTTACTTAATTGAATTGTGTAAAACTTTATGTTTCCCAAATGAACATAAATAAATATCTGTTTCATCGCTGCCGGAAACCGGCTACCACTTTTGTTTTTCCTTCCTCCCAGGCGGGGGAGCGGGTGTGAAATCCTCATGGATTGCATGGCTGCAAGGTTATTTCAGGCTCTTACTGACTAACATACACCCGTAATTGATGCTTATGGCTAGAAGGGCTTTATAAGCTGCATCTAAAGCGATCATCCCCTGTATGGGGATGACTACCACATTTGAACCGTCTCCCTTATATTTGCAACCGTGGCTATTAATAGATTTCTCGCTGTCTCTCTTCTCATTTGACAAGTTGTCTCAGTTGTAAGTAACTACTTAGTCTTTGCCTGCAAGGATAATTAAAAAGTTTTGCAATTGGATGAATTCGATTGAAAATCGGAACAACATACATAGTTTGCAATGATATGAGAAGTTCCTCAGGAAAAAAAATAATTTGTTAAAAACTCAAAAGCGGATTGTGTATGTTAATTGTTATAAAATATGCTATCTATTAAAAGTTGAAGTTTATCACTCGAACAGAGCATATCAGTTTGCAATTTGAACAAAACTTTCTAAGTTTCTGAGAAAAACGACTTGCAACATTATACAATACAACACTTCACACTATATGGGATCTTTGTTATTTAATGTTGCGATATCGTGTTTCTTCTAAAAATGTGTTGATGAATCGAGCTAAATTATAACTTTGGTTACTGTTTTACACAAGGTGGAATTATATTGTTGCACACCATCTGATTAGTCCAGTTGAGAAGATAGTTGAAGTGGCAGGAAAAAATGCCACTTGGCGGCCCCAGGCTATGACGGCAGCTTACCATCAGACAGACAGGTCATATTGTTATATCTGTTTATCAAACTTATCTATATAGAAAACAAAATCTGATTTTTAGATTCATCTCCACCCCGAATAGCAGAATAACTATTAAAATAACGGAAAAATTACGGAAAAAAAGTTATGCAGATAAACAATTTTTAATAAATAAATTGGGTATGGTATTCCGCCACGTCAAGCACAAAGCTAATTTGTACTGCAAATCAGTAACTACATTATAGATATTTTAAAATAGAAATTAAACGGGAAAATACCCTACTCAATAGATATGATCACTAGAGAGTACTATTGCAATTTACAGAAAATACTTGCCGATATTTTGGTAAGGAGATGATGGATATAACTTCAAACCTGTTCTTTCTGAATCATCAATATCATAGTTTGTAACGTACCTCAGAGATCGTCCCATGGTTTCGACTATCATAGGTTCCATTTCGCACATTTTATCATATAACATCATCGATATTCATCAGGCATCAATATTATTCATCATCAGGTATTCCTGGAAACACATAATTTCAAAAATATCACACAATATTCATCATTTTGTAAATATGTATAATAATTTCTTCTGTACTGAAAATCACTATCCCAGAGTGCTGGACACTTACCGGCATTTCTCTATATTCTGTTACTTATTTGTTTTCATTAATTTTGCTTCGATTTTATCTATTTTTACGCGGCTGCGCAATGCAAGAGCGCGAAGCGCGCCGCGCAGACAGGGTCTAGTGTTTAACAGTCTATATATGTATGTTTGTTCCTTTGTGGCACACTAGAGACCAAACGCCTGGACCGATTTTAATGATTCATAGGTACATCAATCGATTCGTCTCAATCATGGGAGTGCTACTAAAGATATGATTAGTAATCAAAATTCAATATGGGCAAAATTAGGCGCCATATTGTGACGAAGTAAAAAAAAAAGTTGACAAAATATGTCGAGTGGGGTATCACTGTCTAGATAATTACCCGGCTGCGCAATGCAAGAGCGCGAAGCGCGACGCGCAGACAGGGTTATGTGTTTAACAGTCTATATATGTATGTTTGTTCCTTTGTGGCACACTAGAGTCCAAACGCCTGGACCGATTTTGATGATTCATAGGTACATCAATCGATTCGTCTCAATCATGGGAGTGCTACTAAAGATATGATTAGTAATCAAAATTCAATATGGGCAAAATTAGGCGCCATATTGTGACGAAGTAAAAAAAAAAGTTGACAAAATATGTCGAGTGGGGTATCACTGTCTAGATAATCGAAAATCA